TTTTAGGGATGGCAGGCGAAGATGCGTCATCAGCTCGTTTCTCTTGATTAGAAGAGTGTTTCCGCCTCTTTGTGGATGGTTCAGAAGGGATAACGATGTTAGCTTCAGGGGCGTACGAATGTGTCAACATAATCAGAGGGTTAGAAAGGGAACAAGAACAGTTAGTAAACCATCATATTATTAGATTACCTTAGAAGAAGTTCCAAGGGCTTGATTAGCTGAGGGAGAAACATTCGCACCACTGATAACTTCCCTGGCGTGTTTCTTGTGCTTAACTGTTGAATGAGGCAATAACATAAGATGAAGCATTAGAAGTCAAAACATAAAGAAGCGAGAAGGAAAACAAGAAGGCGACTGATAGTCACAATATTAAGCCATACCTTTCCTAAACTTTTGATGCATAGCTTCAAAAACATAGTTCAGTCGAGCCTTGAAGGACTTGAGAGTCCCATTACTTTGCACGAATTTCACAATCCACCAATCATAGAACTCCTTAGTGGTGTAAAGAGGGGTTCGAAGGTGACAAGAGTCATATTGGGGACGTCAGCAAAAAAATGTTGAAGTCGTTGAGCATATTCTCCCTCACTGTAGCTGGTGGATAAAAGGCACAGTTCATTTGATGGCTTATAAAAGCTGCGAGGCAAAGGTTGGCACTGGCCAAACTGCCTAGCCACCCGATTAGGATGATAACACAAGAGTGTTACGCCCTCATTAGCTCCTACCCTATATTCTATGAGCCTAGGGGTTAAGAAATCTTTCCAAATGGCTTTGGATTCAAGGATTTTTGTAGGATCGACATGAGGAAATGGTCGAGTAAACCACTCAGGACCATGTTGTCTAGAGGAAAAAGGCGCCATGCTTGGATAAAAAGAAGTGTACCTAAAGAAAAACTTCAAGTATTTCTCAAGCGACTCCTCTCGAGTCATGTCATTGTTAGAAGGCGCCATTGCAATAAGACGAAGGCTTTCGTTGGCACGTTGGGCAAATACAGTCTCATGTGATTTAGAAAGGCGTAGTTTGAGATGGCTTGCAAAAGTGGCATTTAACCATAATTAAAGCATCTAGAAAGACCCGACAAGCAGATATCTGGAAGTAGATGAAAGTGAGGTCATATGATCGACTCCCACGCTGAGTGATTCATAGAGGGACCCCAAAATAAGTTCACTCAGGCATATGTTTCGACCCAGATAGAGGTGATGAGCTAACACAATGAATCATTTATCTACCTTCAGATGTCAATTGCAGAAGACATACTTGGAAAGCCACAAGGCTAAGAAGGCAATGTGCTCTTCGTCAGACACAGTGTCGACATATTTAGCGTGAAAATGCTCCATATATTTGGTGAAGCCAGTAATGTCCTTTTCAAAAGAAATGATATTTTCTTCTGCTTCAGTGGGAAAGAACGCTTCAGCTGTTGGGCGGAGACCAATGATGGCTGTAATGTCGAACATGGTAGGAGTAAGCATCCCAGCTGCAAAACGGAAAGTGTTTGTGGAGCCTTCCTAGAAATAGAGTGCAGAAATCAGCATGCGATTTGTAATAATTAGGGCCAACCCTAGAAAGTTGAATCAAGTCAAAAATTCCGCAAGCCTTCCAAACGTCACCTTTAACTTTCTCCATTTTATTCAACCGTGCAATGTAATCTTGGTTAACAGCAGGAGTAGAGAGGAAGACTTTAGATGTCCGATAGAGTGTGAAAAATCTATAGGGAAATCTCTGTTGATAGGGGTTTTGTAGTTTTGTGAGTGGGGAAGCAACTTTCCATTTAGGTGCCTTAATCTCATCAAGAATAGGCCCCAATAGAGCATAAACAATATTGTTACAGATGAAGGGAAGCAACAACTGAGAGCTAAAAGTTTAGAGATTTTGTGTTGGCGTTGGTTCCAAAATGAAGGTATTTTGATTATGAACGAAGAACTCACTCATGTTGGAAACCAGTTCAATTTCCTGGGGAGTTTGAATGTGCTCGAAGATTTGGCTTGAAGCGGCCATGAAGATGGTGGAAATTTTTCTCGGTAGAAATGAAAGTAAGAATTTCTTTTGTGTACGAAAACAAAGATCCTTAGTATGTAGAGAAAACGTAAAGAGGAAAATGAAGAGATGGAAGGGGTATTTATACCATCAAGGAAACCAAACATTTGGGAAAAAAGTGGAAAAATGTGGCTACACGACTGACACATGTCAAACAGGTGACGACTGAGTTGAAGGAGTTGGTTAGTTGGGGACCACGATTATCCTAGGAATTTGAAGCTAGAAAGTAGTGAAGTGGTTGTGCGATCGCTGATGTAACGTTTGAGAAAAGGATTAAAATGTATGTTTTGTTTGAGTCGAAAAGGACATTTTGGGGGACAATTTATTGGCTAGGATTTTTCACAAAGGGTTAAAATCCAACCAAAAGCCAAAATGGTTCTTTGAGAATTTGAATTATAGGAAGTCGACTACAAAAGCAGTCAGCCGAGAGAGATTTCACAAAGAGTCAATTGGGCTTGTGGACGCAGTCGACCAGAAAAAAGGCCTCATAAGAAATGGATTGGGCACAGAAATGTTAAAAAGGCTAAAGAGTGCATAACTAGCAAAGCAAAGTGTTATGGATGGAGAACGTGGGCTTAATAGCAGAGATGGAGAACGTGGGTTCATGGAGGGAAGTTACAAGAGACATGTGGCTTATAAAGAAGCGAAACCAGCTGAAAAGTAGTTATTTTGTGTATTATAAATAAAACACTTAGTGCATAGTGTTAGAGGTTCAAACTTTCACATTCCTACACACTTGTCACTCAGAGTACCCAAGCGAACGAGCAAAATGAGTCAAGTTAGGGCAATGTACGTTTGAATCAACTCATTTTCAACTATTTTGATGTTATGTCATCTATTTTTACAGTTTAAAATGTCTTTTGTTTTATTTTACACGTTCTGCTTTATTGCTTTTAAATTCGTTTCACCTTTAGTCTAACGAACCCTTTTGAACATACTTTGTGAAAACACTTGGAAACTGAAGCATTGTACTGAGATTCCCTGGTCGATCTCGCCAGTAAACTTTTTGTTAAGAGACCAGCGTTGTTTGTCAAAACTAGAGGTAAACAGATAGATTCTGAATAGTATTGATAGATGAGGAGAGAATAATACACCAAACACATTACTTTATTGCAGTTATGCAGGGAATAACTTCTTGTGGTAGCAGTTACAACTGCAACAACAATTATATATACATAATTAATTGTATACAACCTCTAGGATTAGAGAGCCTAGTCTCTCCCAAACCAAATCAACCAAAATAACAAACTGAATGAGACTTTCTCATTCTTTATTCTATTTAAATACATTACATTTAATTAAATGATTTGGGCCTAACTTACTTGGCCTTGGACCTACGTCTAACATATATTGAGAATTTCTTTCTCCACCTCTATGTTTTCTTGGAGGTCTTTGGTGAAATTCCAAAAATGTCTCTTATTTTAGATATGCATCTCCGGACAGACCCTTATTCCACAAAAAATTATGAAAAATATATTTTCGGATATGCATATCCAAATAAACCTTATTTTTTTACGAAAAAAGTGGTTTCGAATACGCATTTCCGAATTTTACTCTGTTATAAAAATTGAAAAATACAACTAAAAATAAAATTAAATTAAATTAAGTGTCTATAAATTTTTTCGAATTTTTTCAAAAATATGAAAACGGAAAATAAATCAAATAAAATAGAAAAACAAGGAATTTGGAGTTTTTAGGATGAATTTGAAATTTTAATTCAGAGTCGATTTTCTAGAAAACCGAGTTTTTTACGATAGATCGCGTAAATATCAGAGACACAAGAACGTAAAATCTAGAACACCGAGATTATTTAATTACATTTTTTTATTATAAAATATATCAATTAATACAATTGATACACCTTAATTCTAATTGATACAAATATTAAAATACTTTGGATATGCATATCCGAAAACCCCTTAAAATTAAATATTGAAACACTTCCGAAAACCCCTTAAAATTGAATATTGAAACACTTCAGATATGCATATCCAAAAATCCTTAAAACTAAATATGAAACGCATTCGGATATGCACATTTAAATTTTAAGGGTTGGAGGTCTACTAACACCAAGCATTTTTATTACTTTACAATTTGAATATATATTTCAACTCTAAATGAAAGAAAATCCAGTAACATGCTTCAAGCTCTCAACAGTATACTTGAAAAAGAAATTGAAGGATTGTATGTTTGGGGTTACTTAAAATTAGAACCTACTGCTAGAATTCCTTTCTTGTTTTCCAAAGCATTGCAAGAGGTTGAAAACAAATAAAAAATTGCTGTAGCTATTAGCAGATGTTGCATATTCTTTCCACAGGAAATAGTTTTTTTGTTTAGAAAGAGTACTTTACACAATTTTCTACATTTATACTTCAGAAGAATAACTTCGGTACTAAGGAAGAGTAAATGTGGACTTGTACCAACAACGACTGTGCTACATGACTTATCATTCAATGGCAGGTGTTTCTAACATCTGAACGTATTGTGGTGCAACCTCAGACCAGAAAATAATTAGAGCCAAATTATAACAGTAAAAGAAGCTTTAAAAAAAATCAAAAAAGCACACAAACTTCAATACCAAACACCTGATTTAAATTTAACTATAAAAGTGTAGCTAAAATACCAAATCGGATTGAGATATAAATAGTACAACTAAAGTGAATTCTTCAAAATATAAATGTTTCAACCCACAAATTGGGCTCATCCTTTGTATAACTCGTAAGATTCCAAAATGCAAGTGATCCTATCCACAATTCGAGCCCAACCTATGTGTTACTCATAGTAAGTTCCAATTACAAAATGATCTCAGGGCAAAATATATTCAATACCAAAGGTCTGCAGCAAATTTTGAACTATCTTAAAGTTAGGGATTAAGCTATTTGCTCTTCGGCATCACTGTATACAAGGATACCTTATCCATCAAAACCAATAGCAAAAAGGATGCAGCTACGAGCAAGATACTAGTCAGGTTAGTCCCATCCGGTAGGCACAACAGATGCATAACCACATGGCCCATTTATTCCATCACTGCCTTCACACAAACCAACATCAGCATAATTGTAACCTCCAGCAATCTCTGTATTAATGCTGCCAAAAGCAGTATTGTTGTTAGAGTTTTGGACATCTAAAGAGGTACCAGTATAATTATTGGCAGTATGGTCTCTGTTGCTGTAGGAGCTGTTGTAGTTGTAATTCTGCACCTGTTCGGGAACATTATGGAAACCATTACCACCATAATTGCTGTAACTACTGTTGTAGTTGTTGTAACTCTCCACCATTACAGGTTCAGCTGCAGTCCGGAAATCGCGCCCTCCGTAGTTGTTTCTCCAAGGCGACCGTTGGGATCCATGGCTGCTGCGCCCACCTGGTGCTGAAGACTCGGAATATTGTAATAGCCAAGAAGGGACTTCTTGTTTTGCTTCTTGCAAAAGTCCAACAAGACCCTTTGCAAGAGGCATGTTTTTGCTGCTGAAGAAAGCAGTTGCTAAACCAGACTGACCAGCACGGCCTGTTCTACCAATTCTATGTACATAGTCATCAATGTCTCTCGGTAAGTCAAAGTTAATCACATGAGCCACGTGAGGTATATCCAATCCTCGAGAAGCAACGTCTGTTGCAACCATTATTGGAGTAAGACCGCGTTTAAAAGATCTCAATGCTCGCTCCCGCTCCTATAAACACAATGCAATAATATATAAAAATATAATACCTTGAAGTAATAACACAAACAAAAAAGGTACAGTAATATTTTGGATTCTACAATGCAAAAAAGAATAGAAGTCACGCTATAGCGACCATGCTTTGAATTATATGATCCAAAATAGAATACATGGCACAAGCTAGACACCTTTTATTTTGGATTCTATGATCAAAATGTTGGAATTGATTGCATGAGGGACCACAAATACAGAAACAAAAAAAGCATAAGTCACTGCAACAGTAGCTAATACAACATAAGATAGACGACTAGGATTGAATACGGTAAAAGAATATGGAGAAAATAAAGTGAAGAACAAAAGGTACTAACCATTTGAACCTTGTCACCATGTATTGCAATAGCTGGAAAACCACTTCTGCAAAGCCAACTTTCTAAAGCATCTGCTCCTTTCTTTGTTTCAACAAATATAAGAGATAAAGCCAGCTGCATTGCATAAAACTAAACTATCAAACACACAGTACTTCAAAAACAGCAGGTACAGTAGCTACAGTAACTGTAAATTTACATTGCATTATTACCTTCCCATTGACAACATTGCGTTGAAGAAGATCCACAAGACGATTTCTTTTTTCCATATCCTGTACAGATTCAATTTTCTGTACAATCAGTTCAGTGCTTGAACCAACCCTTCCAACAGCCAAGAACACATAGTTTGACAAAAAATCAGATGCAAGCTTCTGCAGTACACAACAACAAACTATGAAATCATTATACAACTCACAAAATAGAACATTACAAGACACAGCAATTAAACATTATTATACAGTAAACAATTCAAGAACCATTAAAAACATTAAAACAAGTAACAAGGGATAACAATTAACCAACCTGTATATTATCGGGAAAGGTAGCACTAAAAAGCAATGTCTGTCTATCTCCCGGAGGAGGCATGTTCATCTGCTGAACAATGTTGCGAATCTGATGCTCAAAACCCATGTCTAGCATCCGATCAGCCTCATCCAGAGCAAGATATTTAATCTTCTTCAAAGAAACCCTTTCTCTCTCAATCATATCCACCAATCGCCCAGGAGTCGCAACCAAAATATCAACACCTCTCTCCAAAACCCTTAACTGTATACAATCACAAACAATGAATTCGAATCCTCACTATAAGAACTCATAAACCAACAAAAGACAAAAACAGAACACAAACCTGTTGACCAATAGGAGCACCCCCATAAGCAACCGCAATCTTCACTCCTGTTTGATAAGCAAACTTGGTTGCTTCAGCATGTATCTAACAAATTTAGTTTAGAACGTATAAAACAAAAAACAAAAATTAGATTCAAACTATGTTGTTGCTTTCTACTATGAACTATACAAAATATGTATTTAAATAATAAAAAATAAAATAGAAAAGTAAAAAAAAAAAAACCTGGCATGATAACTCCCTAGTTGGAGACAAGATGAGTGCAGTGGGGTACGCAACATCGGAACCACCGCCACGTGGCATAGACGGTACCAACCCAGAAGCTAAACGATCTTTCATAATCCCAGATATAATCGGAAAACAAAACGCCGCCGTTTTACCCGAGCCAGTCTGAGCACAAGCCATAAGGTCTCTCCCAGCAACAGCAATGGGGATCGCGTACCGCTGAACTGGAGTAGGTTTCACATACTTACATCTCTCAATGTTATTCTTCAAATCCTCGTGAAGTTCGGTTTCAGCAAACACATTCACCGGCGGAGGCACGTTCTCTCCGGTAGCCTCAACGGGGATAGATTCATACGCTTCGAAATTCGCATTCGCATTCGCAACGACGCCGTTCTGTGGTTCAGTGTGGGTCTCAATCGGAGGGCGATTGTTCCGATGAGGAGGATGAGGATCGTGGTTGTAGTTGAAGTTCCGTGGTTGTTGTTGTTGTTCCGGTCGAGGGAAATGACGCGGAGGACCATGGCCATATCCGTAACCGCCTCTGCCACGTGGTCTGTGAGTGGAGCGATTGAAAGCGTAGTGAGATGAAACATCGTCGGATGGAGGAAAATGGGCTCGATTGTTGTAGGGAGGAGGAATGTTGGTGGTGTTGGAACGGAATTGAGGAACGTAAAGCGGTTGAGAAGGACGAGATTGTTTCTGAGTAGTTGAATCAGACCATGCCATAGTGAGAGAGAGAGAGGGAGAGAGAGAGAGAGTGAGTGGTTGCAAAAAGCGAAAAAAAACTGTTTTAGGTTAGTATTGAAATGAAACGTAAGTACTAGTAGAAGATGAAGAGTGAGTATTGGAAAAGAAAACGACCCAAAGGAAGAGATTTAATATAATTAAGTGACTTTATTATTCCAAAGGTCCGATAGGTATATAGAAAAAGAAAAGGAAAGGTGGGATTGATGGGACCCGGTTTGACACGTGGCTGATAGTGTTTGGGTGAAAAGCTGCTAGGTAGAGAGTAGAGTGGTAGGGTATTTGCAGGTTTCTGGAAAATGAAATTAATGCTTGTGAGTTGTGAGGTGGTGAAAAAGTATTAAGTGTGTGAAGTGAATGACTTCCAACAAGAATTGAAACGCGTGGATCCCATTTTCTTCCTTATTAGTAACAAATCCGTGCGTTTGCCTCAGTTCTGGTCCGGAACGCACATTTGTTTTAGATCAGAACCTCAACCAGCAGCTTGATAATAGAAGATTGCATCTCGTGTAGTATTTTTATGTAACCTTTCTTCTTTATTTTCAATTATTCGTAGGTTTTCTTCATGTCTTTTAATTTAAAGTGGATATCAACCTACAAAATAAAGACTACAACGAGAAAACTTCAAATTTAAGAGAAATAAAGATCTACCGGTAAGTCTAGTAATCTCTTTTTTTTTCCTGCAAAAATAAACTTTTTCAAACTTTTAACACTCACTCAAACAATTTATCATCATCTCGTCCAACATTCATTCAAAAAAAATATGTGTTTCATCAAATAGTTAGTGGAGATTCTAAATCAGATAAACACACAATCTAACACATAAAAACTTGTAGTATATAAAAGTTATAGACTCACATAAATTGTGAAAACGACGAAAACAACCTTTAATAGACCTTTCTAATATTTTCCAGCTTCAAATCTCAAACATAATTGCTGCAAAATAAGAGCAAAAATTTAGATTCACATAATCAAACTATAGATCTAACTTCTCAGATAATCATAAACCAGGAAACACAAACAAAACAAAACCCAAAACGATGTCGATACGGTGTAACTAACCCATGTAGTTTCTTAGCAACTTGTTGATGAAATACTTTAGATCAACCATATCTAATTTCTTGAAACCTACAACAACAACAAAAATCAACAACTATATAATCGCTGGTGTTTCATAGATCTAAGCACAGAAGGATAATAGTAACCTTTTTGTTGAAGAAAAGGAAGACATGAGTAGGAAACGTGCACTACACTATAAGTTGAAAATCCATTAAATAAATTACTACAAAAATGCTGGATCTTTCATCAGCTAATAAAATCAAATAGACATAACAATTGAAAAAAGCTTCACAAAGAAATTTATTCAGAACAACAAAATCGATTTTGAAGTGCTCTTTATTGTCGGAAACAACCGACCATTTATGGTGTACCTTAACAGCGAATTTCCACGGTTACTTCATGTCGTTGATGTCGACAATATTCTCAAAAGGTCTTGCCATGAAGAAATGTTAGAGGAAGTTCGAGTTGAACGGATGGAGTTTCTGATTCAAGAGCGTCCACCCAGGATCGTCGAGCCTATAACTCAATTGGTTGTTGTGACAATCATGAATAGATCAAGATTTGAGTAAAAATGTTTGGATGTAGATGATGAAAGGAAGTCTTTGGGTATTTTCTCTTGAAATCTGAGTTATGTTGTTTCTGTCAGAAGTATGTAGTGTGTTCCAAGTGTTTTGTTTCTGTTTAATTTAAAATATGTAGATAAAATAGTAATGCTTTTGTAGATGGTAATTTTGTAACAACAATGTTTTGAGCATACTGCATAAGCCATAGTTAACATATATAACAATATGTATTTTAATATTATATTTGGATATTGAAGTTATGTTGTTTTTGCTTACTCTTTCAACTGGTTTTTAATCTTTGGGCTGCTATCTTTTATACTTGTTTACCAATTTAGCGGTTTGGTGCACTACGAATGATATATTACATTAACAACACATGCCCATCCTTCTAAAATTGGCTGTATCAGTTGTCCCAAAATACACCACAGATAACTATCATGGCCAATATGTGATGTGTGGTTGATGTTGCTATGCAGGTCTTCCAATGTTTATGCAAGTTGCAAATTGAGGTTTGGTTTAAGGTTAAGCTGATTAATTGGAGGAAATATCATAGTTTTCTTCTTGCCTTGTTTTATGCAGTTTGAGGATGTTATATAGGTTGATAGTTGAAGATTTTAGGGTGAAAACAGAGGGAAGAATTGAGAGTGAAATAATGGGGAAAACAAAGATAAGTTGAGTATGGATAGTCTAATGAAGTTAACAATGAAACATGGGTTGGATATGTCGAAGGTGGGTTTGTGAGGAAATTTGAGAAAGGTTTTGGATTTTTGAGGAGTAAATATTTTGTTGTAGTTGCACCCATTGTTCTTGTTGTAACAAAGTTTGAAGTTATATGAACATAATGTGTGAAAATGTGTTGGGTAAGTGGGTCCTATTAAATCCTTTTGTATTATGTTCATCTTTTTGTTATCAGTTATATACCGGTGATCAATCTTCATTGTAACAGTTGCCATTTTGATGAAAATTTTGAAAATATAGAGATTATTTATAAATTTTGTAAAATAATTTATGTTTGATCAACTTATAAGTATGGTGTAGATGTCCTGTAATTTGAGTGTTGTTTGAAAATTGGCATTTGGTGTTGTAAATTGAGATATAATTTGAACGTAATATTGAATGATATTTCAACATCCATATTCGGATACCATACAATGTCGTTTGAAATCTTTTGTCTATAGTAATGTTTTTGTATAAACATGGCTTCAGAATTCATAAAAATACTTATAGTTAAATATAAATAAAATTTAATATTTTAACTAAAATGATAAATTGTTTCCAAGAGTTTATTTATATATATATATATACAATTAGGTAAAATAAAAAGGATTTGTGATAAGTTAATTGTAAATAATAAAAAAAATAGAGTTGTACCACATTAAATAAATAATATTACATTAAATAGAATATAAATGGTCAAGATGCAAATCTTTAATGGGCCAAAACATGGGGTTGGTTTTATGGCCCAATAAGTGAATATAAAATGACATTAGGTTAATGTGTAAACACAATAGTCAACGGATAAACTGAAAATTGCCTTTGTTTTTTTCTGGAGAAAACGCTTTCAAGAATGGCATGAGACAAGTACCCAGACGGTGTGGCCAGGTATTCAGAATACATATGGTTTGCTTACTCGTTGTTCTCGTGTGAAGATGAAGGCTTGTATTTGATTGTTAATGTAATGTTGGATGCAGGACTGCTGCATAATAGCTCGAACTTGCACGTCGTGAAGCTAACAGAAAAGGCAAGGAGAAAGGTCAAAGCAGTGCATCAGCCATAATATTATCATTAAATTGCAGTTATGATTGTAGCTCTGATAGCAGCATGTAAGGTTATTTCGTCTAATTAGAATAGTTGTTGCATGTTAGGTTTTTTGCATGTGAAAGATCTATTATGGAATTGTTGTTTTCAAGTGTAATAAAAGTGTTGATTTAGTCGAAGATTGTATGATCGCTAGGTCAACGTTATTAATGTAAGTATTTGTTGTAAAAGATATTTCAATGGCTACTGTCTATACAATAATACCGTGGCAAATGTAGTAGTTTTTGATGTTATCTAAACCATGCAGTATGGAGGAGTTATTTCCTGGAGAATTTGAACAGGTTAATCCTATTCAAGCTCGTATTTTTGACACATTCAGGGATCCCATGCTGAATGTTAATAGCAGTGACTCTAAAAGTGATGACAGTGAAGATGAAGACTACCCTCTGGTGTATGAGTGGGAGAGAAAGATCACCAACACATACAGAACTCAAAAAATGTTTTGGTATTTAAATAATATCAAAATAGGATACCTACTACAAATATGTATATCTATAATATTCTGAAAGTTAAAGTCGTGGTGATTTATTGCAACATTTTCCTAATAATGTCACAAAGAAACGCTTTTTAGGAATCAAAAAGCATTCGAGTTAATAGATGAAGATAATGGTGATTCATATTATGCAGAAGTCCACTATACCAAGCGCAATAAGAAGTTGTTTAAGAAGGAGAAATTTATTTCCAAATGATGATACGAATATGAAAAGTGGAATAAGATAAGGAGAGGTGACGTCCTTAGCTTTACACTTCGCTATCCTCCAAAAAGGTTGTATGTGGAACTGTTGAACCATTAAAGTGGTTGTGACCATGAAGTATAGTGATAAAGAAAAACATGGATGCAGACTTATTAAAAATTGTTTTGGATCTTTTGGGTAGATAAGAATGTTAGTGTTGTGTTTGTGAGATCTACTTTTCTGAATGTATGATATTGTCTATGTTAGTATATGACTTATTCAGAAGTTCTGTATTTTGAAGGTTGGATGATGTACTGTATTTTGGATCTTGGATGTAAGAATGTCGGTTGTACTCTGGGATAAAAGTATGAACTTAAGTTGTAATAGTTTTCTTAGTATATCAATGTAAGTAGTATTAATTTTAGTTATTTGTTCTTTGAATGATTCAAGGAAATTGTGAAAAGGTTTGCTCACTATAAACGGAAATAAATAGTTAAGTTACCAAACATTGGATTTAAAGGCACAACATTATAGGACAGTTCCATGTGTATATGTAATAAATAATTAGAATGAGATTTTATATGTATTGTGAGCATCCTGCACAAGTCATTAATCTTTTAAACTCTAAGTAGTATTAAGTGTTGATGATGCGGTTATGTTTAATATATATTACACTATAAATTTTAATATTATATATATATATATATATATATATATATATATATATATATATATATATATATATATATATATATATATATATATATATATATATTCAAGTTGTGTTTGTCAACTGGATTTTCATTTTTGCAAATAGCAGATATTATGGTATTATGTATACCACTCTGAGATAAATATAGAAATATAT